TGTTGTTTTCCCTGGATTCTCCGTATCCTGGGTGCTGTTTTTCCCTGGATTCTCCCCATCCTGGCTTTTCCCCGGATCCCGATTTTCCCCGGGGGTCAGGAATTGTCCCCAGCGAGCTCCAAGTCCCCTCTCTGGGAAAAACTCGGGACGCTCCCGCTGGCAGCGGCCGGGATCCGGGATCCTGTGGGAATGCCGGGATCCAGTGGGAATGTTGGGATCTGGGATCCAGTGGGAATGCTGGGATCCGGGATCCAGTGGGAATGCTGGGATCCTGTGGAAATGCTGGGATCTGGGATCCTGTGGGAATGCCGGGATCCTGTGGGAATGTTGGGATCTGGGATCCTGTGGGAATGGGGGATCCAGTGGGAATGTAGGGATCCTGTGGGAATGCCGGGATCCAGTGGGAATGAGGGATCCTGTGGGAATGAAGGATCCTGTGGGAATGCTGGGATCCAGTGGGAATGTTGGGATCCGGGATCCTGTGGGAATGCCGGGATCCTGTGGGAATGAGGGATCCCGTGGGAATGCCGGGATCCTGTGGGAATGCTGGGATCCCATGGGAATGAGGGATCCTGTGGGAATGCCGGGATCCCATGGGAATGTGGGAACGCGGGGATCCAGTGGGAATGCAGGAATGCCGGGATCCGGGAATGCGGGAATTCCATGTGGGAATGTGGGAATTCCATATGGGAATGCAGGAATGCGGGGATCCAGTGGGGATCCGGGAATGCGGGAATTCCATGTGGGAATGTGGGAATGCCGGGATCCGGGATCCAGTGGGAATGCGGGAATTCCATGTGGGAATTCCGGCGGGCGGGATCGTTCCCCTCCAGCCGCTCGGCTCGGGGCAGGAGGAAGCGGCTCCAGCCACGATTCCTGGAGCCGGGAAGGAAAATGGGGGGAAAAGGCAAAAAAAGTGGGAAAAATGGGAGAAAAAAGTGGGAAATGGGAGAAAAAAATGGAGAAAATGGGGAAAAAAGGGGAAAATGGGAGAAAAAAGGGGAAAATGGGATTAAAAAAGGAAAAAATGGGAGAAAAAAGGGGAAAAATGGGAGAAAAAGGGGGAAAAATGGGAGAAAAAATGGGAAAAATGGGGGAAAAAAGGGGGAAAATGGGAGAAAAAATGGGAAAAATGGGGGAAAAAAGGGGAAAAATGGGAGAAAAAAATGGGAAAAATGGGGGAAAAAAGGCGAAAAATGGGAGAAAAAAGGGAAAAATGGGAGAAAAAAGTGGGAAAAATGGGGAAAAAAAATAAAAGAGGGTCAGGAAGAGGTGACTCCCAATCCCAGGGAACGCCGATCTGTGGGATGGGGGATCCAGAGGGGAATTTTTGAGGGTTTTGGGTCCAAAATCCTCAATTTCCCCCTCATTTTTAACCCCGGGAATGCGAAAAAAACCGGGAATTTGGGATGGGGACGGAGCGAGGATCCCCTAAAATCTCCCGGCCGTGGATTTTTGGGATGATCCAGGCGTGGATTCCCAGCCTGGAGGGTCCGGGAGGCAGAAGCGGGGTTGGGAATATCCCGGGATAAAAAGAGAGAGAGAGAGAGAGAGGGGAAAAAACGGGATGAGAAAAACTCAGCTGCTCCTTTTCCCCCCCATTCCAGGCCCCATTCCAAGCGGGAATAGCAGAGCAGGGAAGGGAACGGGAGCCCGGTAATTTGGGATGGCCGGATCCCAAAAATAAAAACCTAAAAAAAGATGGGAAAAGGATGCGCCAGCACCTCGGGATTTTTTTTGTTGTTGTTGTTGTTGTTGGGTTTTTTTTTTTTGGGATATTCCTCCCTCCCACAACATCCCAAAAAATCCCGCAGGGAAGGGGGAGAATTTGGGAATTTTTTGGGGGGGGATTTTTGGGGATATTCCAGCCCTTCCCCCCGGGAATTTGGAGCTGGAAAGGACTTTGGGAAGGAGCTTTTGTTGGGTTTTTTTTAAATTCCTTTGAAAGGCTGGAAAATGTAATGACAGGGTGGGAGAGAAAGGGATAAAAGGAAGCAGCTGGAAAAGCCCGAAATAGAGAAAAAACCAGGAAAAAACCCAAAAGGAGCAAAAAAAAACCGAGGAGGGAAAAAAAAGGGTGGGAGGGAACGGGGGGAAGGGAAAAGAAATTTGGGATTTTTTGGGATCCCCTTTGCAGCCCCCAAAATTGAATCCCGAGGGATTCAGAGGGACTCCCCCCAAATCGCGGCATTCCCGGGATTCCAGAGCGGAGAATTCCCGGGAATCCTGAGCTGGAACATTCCTGGGGATCCCAAAGGGGAGAATTCCCGGGAATGCTGAGCTGGAACATTCCCGGGATTCCAGAGTGGAGAATTCCTGGGAATGCTGAGCTGGAACATTCCTGGGAA